AATGGTTGAAATTGGTTGGAAAGTCTGCGAGGCGCCCAATAGTATGTTACTATATACTAGACTTTGGGTCCGCTTTTGCTGACAGCAGATGTGGATCTCTTTGCGATGAGGACTGAAATGTTGATTGGCATCCATACGACACCACCTTAAACAGAGGACAGTGGCATTGGTGTATGTGGACTAGTTCCAATAAGACACCATGCTGTTGGCATCTCTGACACTGAGTCGAGACCCCGTGGCAAGGTCAAAATGATTTGAGTAGCCTTTCCAAGAAGGAGAAGCAGAACCTCGTGTCCTGCACCATGTTTTGCTCCTTGGCAGGGTCTTCTCAGCTTGGTACAACAAGGAAGAAACCCCTAGAAAGGTAGACCTGATTCTTCCTTTGTGTCCATTTCATATCCCCTTTGCTCTATGAGGCCTTCCCAGCACCCCAGCGTTCAGTCTGAATTGTGTAGCGAGCTTGTTGGTCAATTCCATACAAGATAGATTCAAGTAGATCTACGCTTTCGAAAGCTCGTGGAACATTAGGCACTTGCCTAAGCCCACTGCGAAATCAATCACCCGTCGGATATTGGCAGGGTTACTGAGTGAGTGGGACATGGCGACGGTGACTTGGGTTGCCACCACGACTTGGTTCCAAGGAAAATCACCAGAATCTGCAAAGAGCGTTTTAACAGATTAACATTAACATAACATTACTAAGCGCTAGAACCCACGGATGACTTGTTCTGGTTCTATGGCCCGCAGGCTTAGATGTTCCAACTTTGTGAGTCACGTCCTGAACCTCAAGTAAGCAGAGTCTCCCTACCGCAGAGTCTCCCTACTTTTTTCTAGAATCCACTGATTTGTTGTCCAGACATATAAAAAAGTTAACTTTTTTATGTTTGTAGACCTTAAAAACAAGGTTTTTTGGATATCGAATATCTAGAAATCAAAAAAACTATAGTTTTTATGATTTGATATTTTCCAAAATGTTAACTTTTCTTGATTTAGCCAATTTTCCATGGTTCCAGGAAACCAGCGTTTTTTAGCATCCTTCAGAAAACACCTCCACAGCCCGAGAACGCCCAAACTAAAGTTTAAAGATGTAGAAAGTCAAAGGCAGCTTGTTATCCTGCAGCTAGCAAAGGGCTTTGGGTATTTCTGGGTTGTTGTAGGCATCAATGACGGTTCATTACACTCCAGAACTAACAAACTGTGCTGGTGGTTGGTTGGGAGCTAAGATCGATCTCCTTTTGTACAGAAATGAATGCACACTCAGTCATCTAGCAGTTTTTTCAATGTGGCCTCTTCCGAACCAACAGTGGCTCGTTGCGAGCTTTTTGGTTTGTTTTGTTTTTCTGATTTGCAGCGATCCTGACAGAAGGACATGCTGAGTTCGCGAAGTGTAAAAAATGCCGAATTGACTTGCCAACTTCGTGAACAGCAGCAGTTTCTGCCAATCAACCATCCGACTGTCACTGACCTGGAGCCATACATCATCCGGTTCAGTTTAGAAGTTTAGCCTAGCCAAACTTCTATTGTCCAACATGTTTGATCCGGTCAGCGTCTGGTAGCTTTTCTACCCGGCTGTCTAGAACGTGTGGCCTGAACGGTCATTCCGAGGTCAATATGCCACCACTGGCCGCTCGAAATGCCGACGCTGCGGCGAAGTGATCGAGAAGCTGGGACTTGGTATATATAGAGAACTAAAACCAGTTTGGACACCTAATAAACATGTGCCAGTACATGTGTCAGTAGACAAGTAGAACACGTTGTGTGATGATTTTGTGGGAAATTCGAAGTATTTTGTTTGCTTAGACATGCATCCTTAACAGAAGGATATTCGGAACCTTCCACCAAGCAGATAGAGTGCGTTGCTCGTGAAGAGCGTCCCGGTTTGCCTATACTCGTAGAGCCTCATGCTGCTGCTTTCTATTTGACATTTCTGCGGATGATGAATCGATGAAGGATCTAGCGCAATCCATGGACTCACGGTCAATAGATGTCAGTGTTCAAGCGGGAAGAACGTCGTACATTGCTCCTTCAGCATTCTTCAGCGGCATCAGAACGCCTGTTTTAATGAAAACGGTCGTCCGTCGTCCGTCGTCTGTTCAGGAAAGACATCCTACGACTGGGATATCCTTTCCGCTGGCGGCCACTTGTCATTCACGTGGTGGGCCTGTCGCGTTGAAACGACGAGCGTAGCTGAGCGTAAGCCGAGCGCCGGACGGCCTCGCCCAGCCAGCTGGACCTGGAGCTTTTGGAGCCTGGAGAGTTTTCCGAGTTATGTTGCGTGAATTGCAGGTTTTTAATTTCACCTGTTATTTGGGTCAACCAAGGTTTTCCATATGTTGCCCCCACTCCAATGGTAGTAAGTACACAAACACTCAAATATAGGTAGGTTGGATTTGCATAATTTGTTTTGGAGGTATCCTTCACAACAACGTCGCAACAATGTTTCATTACTTAGTATAGTTCAAAGGGACACACCCAGCGATTTTTGAGAACCTTCCTGGGGAAGATTGGATTGGACACATTGTTTTACAATTGTTCAATGTTTTGTGATTTGGCCGGGCATCGTCCTCTTGTTTTGCCAATTTTCGCCCCTGTGTGTGTGTGTCAATGGCATGCAGCCGGCCTTCAGGCAGCAAGATCCCTGCTTCACTATGTTCCTGCACACTGAGTGCTACGATCCTGCCGTCTTCGGAATCAAGGACTCCCGTGTTTCGCGTCACTTGCCCTCCACCTTTACCCTTCGGATGGCGGTCGCTCCAAGTGGAACCTGCCCAGCGACAAAAAACGACGGTGCGGCCCGCTTCGTCGAGTCACAACTGCACCGAGTTACCGGCGGGCGGTAACACGCAGGGTGCAGCACTGAACACGGCCTTTTTGTCCGGGCCGTTTCTGAACATGGCGGTGTCCTTCAATGGCTGCATGCCATACTTCGCCAGGAGAAGGAGCTGCGCAAGAAGATTTACGGCTATGAAGCGCTGAACAACACTGAACGGGCTCGACTTTGGAAGGATGCCGCTTTGGGTGACCGGCGGGATGGTTTGGGGTCGGGGCGTCCGAGTTGGAGGGTGTTTTTGTTGGGAAGTAATTAATCATGATGATTGAAACTTTTTGAAACTTAGAGACGCTGTTGGTTCTCTGAGGTGGTTCGTTTTCACAGTCCCAGCGACGTACATTCGCAAATCCCTTTAGAGCCAACATGAGTCAACCCAAAGGCTGAATTGGATCAGAGAGACCAAGTGTTCTTAAGATGCTAGACTTGGCCGAAAAAGCTTGAAAGTGCTGGGCGATGCCGGGATGAAGTTGACACCAAATTGTTCACATCTTCGCAACAGATTGGATTTAGATATCGCCACCTGTGACCAATCAGATTCAATATGAGTCAATAATAAGATGACGGACACCGACTGCGCCATCGACCCCAGTTCTTCGGCAGTGGGCGCGACCTGATGGGGGTTTTAATTGGAAAGGAGATGCGGAGTGAAGGTCAACACGCAGCTGCCAGCAAAGAAGGCAGGGTCGGTTCAAAACGCTCTCAGCTTGAACATATTTGTTTGTTCCAGTGAATGTCGCCCAACTGATTCAGCACAGCCGCAGCTGGGCTCTTTGGAATATGCGAAAACTACGAACCTGAGCAGCTACCCGACGGAAGACTATAGATTGAACAAACATCAAACGCTATATGGAAAATTTATGGGAACCATTTTCGACCAAGTTATCACCATATTGGACCGTTATCACTTCCGCTTCCGCTGGCTTTTAAACAGGGACCGACGGTCGGGATGTCCACAACATCCATCCAGTGGCCGGAACCCGTTCGGGGTGTCCCTAGTAATGTTCACTCCATTTAGATGCACACACACGTGCCGTTGACACACCTGCGAATCAAAGATCCGACGTCAAAACATGAGGAGCGGAGCCTCCCATGTGGTGGGGGCTCGGCCACGAAACCGTCCCACCGTGTCGCTTCGCTTCACCGGGTTCGGCTCTCCGGTCGTCGCCAGGGGCGGATGCCACCGCGGAGTACTCCAGTGGATCGGTCGGCAGGTGCACCAAGAGCGTTCCTGAAGTGCCAGTGCCCAAGGACTCGCGTCATCTGAGTGAGAGAGTGCCCAAGGACTAGCTTCCCCCACCATGGTTTGAATGGTTTGAATACCAAAAGTTACCAAAGAACCATGGTTTCACTGGATTTCAAGACTACAACACCAGGTCAACCAGCCTTTAAGTGGTCTTGGAAGCCTATCGGGAGTGAGAATGCATGAGAATGCATGGTGCTGTGGGCGGAGCTCCGGTGGAGCTCCCAGCTGCAGCTCCATGCGCTTCCCACCTTGTACTCCTTGTACCGGTGTTGTACAGTTGTATAGCGGGTATGGAGGAAGTTGAATGCACAAGACCAAAAAGGATCACCAGGATCACCTGATTACAAAAAGCAGATGTTGAATGATCCATGACTTCTTAGACCGTCAGCATGGGCGGCGATAGCAGCTAGGACGTGAACCAATTTTTGGGGCATGGTTTTGCAGGCAAGTTCAATTACAGCAGTGAAGACAGCGCATCTACAGTATCCATCTTAATTGAGGGCCACTTGAGGATTATGTAAAACTAGGGGGCTAGGGATGTTCCATAACTTTCCAGAACTTGCTTCAGTGCTACGTCTGCTATGTTGCATGCTTGTTAAACACAAAACTTCAACGAGATCCAAGCGCTGCGCCCCAAAGGACTTGGCGGTGCCCATGCTGCCTTTCCAGAAAGAAGGCCCGTTGGATCCACCGATGTCACGCGTGCGACGTTCCCTTCGGCGGTCGAGTTGGAGTGCGAACGTCCAGGAAGCAGTCCGTGCAGTGCTTTGGTATAGTTGTTGCTGTACATCATCAGTCCTGTTTGATTTCAAGACTGAGACATACTGAGAACATGAGCTGGCTCCATGGGTCCATGATACATCTGGATGGATCATTTCACATTTCCATGTCACGGGCTTTCTGCCAATTCCTGCAGGTCTTGCCTGGATGTGCCACCAGGAGGAGAGTAGTGTCAGGACTGCACTGCTTCGGTCGACCTTTTCCGCGTTCCTTGGCACCGGTCGTGTACCCGGTGCCGCGTCGCCCGGGTCGCGCGTCGCGCAGGGGCGGCATTCTGGCCGACGAGATGGGCATGGGCAAGACGATCCAGGCGGGTGGACGGGGATGGAAGATGCCTGGTCGGACCGATTGAATCGGAGTTTTGCCCACCGTGACCTTTTTCTAGAGGCGGCCAGATCTAGTCACTAGTCCGGATTGGAAGACTGCGAACGCTGAAGATCTTCCATGCATAGACCAAGCAATTAGACCGGTCTCTTTGTTTCTTTCGAGATGTTTATGGCGAAAGCCATCGTGTTCGGCCGCCAGGCGATTAGTCTCCTCTTGGCTCGGCCGATCAAGGGGCCGTGCCTGGTGATCTGTCCAATGGCAGCGGTGAACCAATGGATGAAAGAGATTGTGGCTTGGTAGATGCTGTCAGGGCTCGAGATGCTTGAGCTGGGCGTGTGGTTTGATGGTGTAAAGATGTTTCAAGGTTCACAGATGGCTGAAAGGCTTTGGTAGGGCTGCAAATTTTGCTCAGAAATGTTTGGCTAGGGGTGGCTTGATGATTGTACCAGAGCATAGTGTTTCAACACAAGCTGGTCAAATACTGACTCTGACTCTTGCCTTCTTTAGTTTCAATCGCTCCTCATCCGCATTTGAACAGTGAACTATCATGCCTGGTGTCCATGACACGCCAGTTCGTGAGAGCGTAGTGCCAGAAAGTTGCAAGAAACATCAAGAAGCCGTAGCACACCCTTTGGCAAGCAATGCAGAGCCAACACCAACAACATTGAATATGTTTGAGACACTTCCTTCAGAGCTGTTTTCTCTAAGTGATGGCGCCTCCATTCCAAGGCCCCTTCGTTCCAGACCCGGTGAGACCCGGTTAGTGCACCGGTCAGGCCCCGGTTAGTGCATGAGTCCGGGTCCAGGGCTTTGATGTGACACGATCGGGACCAATCTGTAAACAAAAACACAAAAAGAGATGGGGAACACACCGAAAGAGAAGCATTATGATTGTTCTACGTTTCTTCTTTGATTTTGTTTCTGTCAATCACGTTTTGGATTGATCACAGACCTCTCTGAGGAGAAGTTCACGAAGAAAGGCAAGCGACATGTGGGCGGTCCACGGGCGGTCCACGCAGCTTGGAGGGTTTTTTTGCAAGACATACGGTGAGAACAACACGCACCTGTTTCAAACGAGTCGCGAAGCGTCACCGGACACTGGTCCTGTTGCCAGGGCAACAGCGGATTTGGGTTCCAAAAGAGAAGGTTCTTCACCCCGTGTGTTCTGCGCTCACTGCGCAGCGTGGCAGGCACATTGAAGACCTTGGTGTACCACGGCTCCGAGAAAGGCCGAGTGGCCACGCAGTTCAAGAAATGCCACTTGGAAAGTGACCAGGATAGGGGTTGACCCGGGGTTAACCTGAAAGTCGCAGATTAAGCCTGCTTGGACATTGTTGGAAAAGCGGTGGCTGACAGCAAGATCGCCCGCCAAGTCATGTTTTGTTGAACTTCAAGGCAAATTAGTTTGGATTCCTCCAAGAGAGAGAGAGAGAGAGACGGAGAGAGCGAGCTTGTGAGCAAGAGTGTAAGGACAGACAATGTCTCATTGGAACTATTATAGAGATCTATGGTATTCTATGGTGTTTATGGAGTGATGTGAGTTTTAGGAATTCGGAGTGTTGATCCGTCATTTGTCGTTGTTGGTGTAACCCATCGGTCACTGCACAGGCCCGGTCACGGCTTTCTTCTCGCCTGAGGTGATGTTGTCATTACAACCTACCAGACCTTAGAGCCTCTCGGTGAGTCAAGAGTGGCTTGAAGTACAGGCGAATGATCGGATGCGAAGGACAACCGTTTATTTAGCTCAACATATTACATATGTTTTTATTATCAATCGTTTCTTATGTGTGTGTCTTTGAATTAGAATATCTTCAAATTAATCATGATTTGTCGAAGTGGGATCTATAGCTTAGACTGCCAGTACAGCCTGGAGATGTGAGATTCTTCTTGTTCTACTTGTGAGACCTGATGAGACTCCAAAACGAGCGACGACTTAGTCAGTGAAAGGACTTCGTGAATTGATTAGGTCCGATTATCGACGCGAAGCACACAAGCACCGAGTGAAATGCACCTTGGCAGCCTTGGCATATCTCAGATTAATATCAGATGTTTGGTCAGACAATAGTCAGTGCAAGCTTCCATCAACGTTCATCAGGCTTGATGTGTTTGACATGTGAGATTGTGAACCCGCATGATGATTCCTTTTTTGTGTTTTGCCAATGGTCCAGCAATGCCTTTTCTTCTGCAGCCATCTTGGCTGAACTGAGACTCCTGCGGTCGTGATCCGAAGCCGAGACCGGCCATGGATGTCGAGTTCATGCCGTTTTACTTCTGGACTTGGTGGTGTGGTGTGCCAGCTATGTAAGTTGACCATACACGACCTGTGCTTCTGATGCGAAAGGAAGAGGTCTAAATGACGTGACATGTACATACTGGAGCCCACGGATGATCACAGTGCCTGCCCATTTTACCTTTTTTTTCACAGTCATGATGGTGTGACTTTCTGGGCCTGGCCAACTTTCTGCTTTGAGTCAAAGCCAGTTTCATGCTTGTGGCCCAGAGAAAGGAGAGAGGCCATCAAGTACAGAGTACAGACGCAAGGACAAGCACAACAGACGAATCATGGCATTGAATTGAGATGAGATGTATTTCACAGTCCTGTTGTTGACTTTGTTCGACCCTTGTGCACTGACGAAGCACGTGACGATGTTCAGCAAAATACATCTTTCCCCTGATGTTCATTGATGGTGTGAGGCCGATCAACAACTTTGCTGATGGAGTCATGCTACAAATTGCATGTTGGAGGCCAGGCAACAACTCATCGGAACCTACAGACTGGCCACCTACTTGTTCTTCGGCGTCGAACACCTTCGGCCAACGAAAGGAGAGACGAACTCCCTTGGACTCCGTTTCTGTCGGGCAGCGATGGTGGCATCTCCGGATGCTGTCCGAATCTGACAGGTGTCATTGTGAACATGCCACGAAACAACCTGGTAGCCTGAAGAAGGGTCCAGGCTACTATAATCACCCGTCCACTTTGTGCGCTGGCCGCTTTGTGATCTCGACAGCGGCAGTGAGGTATAAAGGCACTTCCGCTTGCAGGGAGGTGCTAGTATGTGCCAGTGAAGGTGGTGGAACATGGTGGAGCAGTGACTCACTAACTTCTTGATTGTTTTCATTGACCTGTCTCACTCTTGGCTCCGGCCCACAACCCTGGCAGTGCAGAACCAGGCGTTTTCTTTTGGATGCATTGCGAAAACCTGGGCTGATCTGGGAACCAAAGAACAATCCTTCGTCGTGCATCTTCGTATAAGATCATACAAGTACATCCAGAAGTTGCCATTGAAGCGTGTGCACCATCTTTGCCTTTACCTTCAGCTGATTTGCTTGGGCATTCGGCCTGAGACTCCAGTTGTGTTTCCCTAGCCATCATCCGCAAAGCCCTGAAAGTTTGTCGACCTACGCCTGAAGAACTCGAGTAGCTCGAGGATTTGAAGTCCCGATGACTTGACCTTTTAAGTTTGGGGAGACATGAGCAACTCATAGCAACTCCAGTTTTCTGAGACATCATGACACACATGGGTTTAAAGGCCATGTGGCCCTGTGCCATTGATCCGGTTTCCTGCTCGGCATGAAACACCGATGCCGCCATACATGTTTGATGCCGCCCAACACTGGGGCGGGTCTTCCAGCACTGTCGGCATCATGCAGCCAGACCGCAAAAAGGGATCCTCCGCAGTGCGGATTACTAAGCGTCTTTCTCAGAGTGCTCGATCGAATGATCGAAATATCATCATTCATGTCTTCGACTCATCTTCGTTGAGAACAAGTGCTCGCTGAGGCAGGTACTGTGGAAAGCTCTTCATGCCAGAGTGCCTCGGTTTTACCATGTTTTGGCCCCCTTTTGGCTGCGGAGACCTGTGTTAGCTGGCTTCCACCTTGCGTGTGACCCAGGAAGCTCACCTTCCACCAGCGGTATTTCTGCGGCCCCAACGCAGAAAAGACCAAAAAGCAACAGAGACTTGGTTTGGAAGGAAATCAACCTGCGGCAGGGCCTCTGAGGGCAGGGTCGCTGCAGAGCGAAGGGTTGATCGTGCCTGAAGTGGCGATCTGCTTGAATCGGGAAAAGCCATGTTTGTAACTGTAATGTTACTCAAAAATAACTATAGAAAGGTGTTACTAAAAGAGCCATGTTTGAAGGGTGTTACTAATAATATTTACTAATAATAGAAAGGTGTATGCCATGTCTGTAATTGTTACTGAAAGGTGTTTGCAACTAAATGTGCTAGATCATCTCCAAGTTCTAGATCAATCATCTTGTTTTGATTGCATCAGTTTGATTGAGCATTGCGAGGTCTGGAGATAAACTGAAAGAAATCAACACCGGGTTGTTCCGGCAAAGCTGCAAAGGGGAATGCCGAGTCTGAGTTTGCTGTGTTGATCATCCCCCTGCATCTTGAAGACAAAGCAACAAGTCGCGGTTTGTAGGTCTCCCCCAGTTGTTGCCATCCGATTTTGAGACCTTCCACTTATACCATGCATGCTGGGGGTGCCCTTGAGTGGAACAGCTTCAGGAAGACTGCGGCCAAGAAGGCAATGCAATCCATGGGCATTGGACCTTCTAAGAGCTCCTCCTCCACGGACACGCCCCCCACCATCACCAACATCTATCGCTGCTCGACCGCGCTTCAGCTGACGGTTCTGGAGATGGTTTTTCTTGTTTGTTTTTGGCGGAGGACGTGACAGTCACTGTTGCCGAAGTCGCTAGTGGCTTGGTGATGTTTACGGAAGCGGTCTAGACATGCATAGACATAATGGAGAATGTGTTGGTCTAGAGTCTAGTCTTGGTGATGTTTTCGGAAGCTGGTTAGTTGGAGTTCGGTGGTAATGTTGGAGAATGGGTTGGACCATTGGACCATATTGGACCCCTTCGTTTGCTTCGGAACATATTTTCCGCACACGAAAGCTCGCATGACCCAAATTGGTTTGCAGCTGGCCTTCCTGTGATCTCCCAACATCAGGAAAATAAACAAAGCACACGAACTCCTGCCAGGGGACTTCATGAAGCAAGCCGGTGTTGACGTCAAGTCCAAAGGCTATTGGAATGAGTCTTGGATGTCGAATCCGCACGAATGAGACGACTCCGGGTTCGGCCGGATGGGGACAGACTCGGAGCGACGAAACCTCAGTTCCATCGGTTCGGTTTGGATCACTGAAGAACAGCAGAATCTTATTGTGTGTGTTCATTCATATTATTACCACCCCATCGTTTTCAGAGACCCCCCATATTGGCCCCTTCATATTGCCCCCCCCATAGTTGAAGAGCTCCCCCCCAAAGATATATTTGAATATATATATATATATATACCCTGGGAGTCAAAGACTATCAAAAGAATGGTCTTTAGGTGACCCGAAAAGGACTATGCTTTACTTCAGTGGGGCAAAATAGATTTGAACTGGACTTCTAGGGTATAGGTTAGTTCAATCCATGTTCAATCTCAAGAGTTGAATACAAACCCTGCGAGTCAAGTCGACAATAGAATGGTCGACCCTGGGTGACCTGAGGTCAAGAACTTCCTTTACTTCCGTCGATCAACATATACCCTATATAGGGCTCCAAGTAGCTCCTCAGAAGATATTTGGAACCTCTTGACCCACCCGAAACACCTTCTTAGAAGGTACTTGAGCCCTAGGGATATAGTCTTTGGACTTCGGCAGATGAAGTTTCTTTGAGGTCTTAAGGATCCGAACTCCGAAGACGCACAGGAGTGTTTCTCAGCTGTTCTTCGACGAACCGAGCGTGGTATTCTGGGTGGTATGAACTGGGGGGCGATTCCGCAAGCGGCAGTGTTGGTCATGGGAGTCTGATCTTTGGTGAAAGAACTCAGTTCAGGTGAAGTTCTCACATCATAGTTCAATTTAACCAGTTCATCTAGACTGTTCAAAGAGGATGATGCAGGACTTATTTCTTGGAATACGATTCCATTATATCCAATCCTCGCATTGACCATCTTAAAACTGAGGTCATGAAGGAGACTCGCGAGAGGCTGCAGGCAGAGATGGCCGTTTGTCAAAAATGAAAGACCCAAGGCAAAAAGGAAACCGACAAAGGGACCGACATCTGGTTTTCTCTGTTTGGAGAAACACAGACAAGGTAACATACTCAGAGGGATCTGGCTGCATACTCATCTGAGGAGTTGCCAGAAAGGTGTCCGACGATAAGCATCAACACGGAGCGGTATCACGCATTTTCTGTAGATGTTATAAATCAACACCCGGCAGTAAGAATCAATCCCCACATCTTTTTGGGGGCGGATCGAACCCTGTTGAAACATGGTGGTACCTTTCCGATGTCGCAAGAGATGTCGCCCTCGCCGTGTCAGGGGGCGTCTTCAAGTTCCTCTAAGGCGTGCTGGACCGGTGAACCGAGTCGGTCACGCCGAGCGTCCGGCGGTGCCCGGTGCGGCGCGAGGGTCTCTGAGCGGAGCGGCGCGTGAGCTGTGCGGGCGCCGGCGCTGAGCGTCATGGCATGGGTACTTGCTGGCCTGAAGCCGAAATTTTCAGAAGACTAGAAGAATACCGGCACAGAAAGCTAGGAAAACAACATTGGATTTGAGAAGGTTGGGAGAGATTCAGTCCGGTCATGGGAAAACATGGGGACATACCGGTACTTGCTGCTTGCCTGTGAAAGCTGAGAAGCCACCCTTGCTTTTCTTCTTCCTGGTCCGAGGGAAGAATCCCCCAAGGACCTGATTTGGGGGCAAGAACACCAACACTTGCAACAGCTACACCGATTATACCGACGGAGTGCTAGTGTCAGATCTTCATCTGTGCCAGGGGGATGATGGACTGAGCCGAGAACGCCTCGGACTCTTGGAAAAGAAGGACAGAAACGATGGACTTGATGAAGGGGATTTAAGGAAGCTGTTCAAAGGAATATATAGCCTAGGTGACAAGTTCTTTGGAAATGTTGCAACAATTGGCCTCAGGAAGCAAACCAAAATTGACACAGACCGTGCAAATCATTGTAGAGTTGCTCCATCAGCTAGCAATTTTACAATGGTTGTGACGCAAAGCAACGGTGCTTTGTTGATTCACATGTTACGGGCAGTTGCCTTCAGCTGGATTGTTGATTTTGCAGGAGTTGGTGGACTTGTGCGAGAAGAAAGGCGGGGGACCCTGCTCAGGTAGAGAGTTTTTTTGTAACCAGTGGACACTCTTTCCTTCGACCTCCGACCTCGTTCACCAAACCGCCGTTCTTCCACCGTTCTCAAAACCGGCCGTTCGCCACGGTTCTCCGTTGGTTTCAGGCCTGGACTCCAGTGGTCGGAAACCCGAACTGGTGGACCGGCTCATGGACTTCGCGGTGCGAGGGAAGACCGACGAACCGGTGAAGAAGGCACGGGTGGTCGCGCGCCGCGAAGCGGGTCGAGGAGAGACCGGGCGCGGATCGCCAAATGGTGGCTAACCTTTGATCAGAGTCCGGGAGGCAAAAACTAAAGCTTCATTTTCGGATTTGCGGCTCGGAGTCAGATTCCTTGTTGGTAAAAAGATGTTGGGAGCACAGTAGTCACTCTCTCTGTGTGAAGAGCGCAGTAGTCAGTAGTTTGAAGAGCATCGGATTCCGGGACACGACCATGGACACTCAGAAGGGTACCACCAAGATTGAAAAAGGCTCTTAGTATTCCAATCATGTTGTTGGGCTCCTGAAATGAACTGTCTCTATATATATATATATAGTCATCACGAATCTAACTATGTATAGTTACAACATATTGCATTATATATATATAATATTAAGTTATGTTGCCTTATGTTATTTAAGCTGTTACTGTACTTTTATGGTTGAATATGGTCGGGCTTGAGGTGCCTTCAAGGCAAAACAAACTGACGTCCAACATCGTCCAACTATTATGTATAGAACATATTGTGGAAACATTGTATATGGTGCTGGAACCAGGATTTAAGTATAGCACTTAGTCGCCGAATAACAAAGAACGACTCCAGGGATGAAGTGACTGTTCCAAGTGTGTGTTCACACAAGGGTATGGCTACACACTTGTGGATGTGCCAACACCAAGTTCTACTAGTAAGCATTGGTCCATGACTAAAACCATTTGTACTTGTAACAGCTTCTTGACTCACTGCATGTTCGAAGTGAATGGCCCCACAACGGTGCCACGTCTACCCACACGCTCATTAGAAGTCTTGTTGTGCAGTTCAAAGCGTGCTGGCAGCTTTGGGCTCTATATACATAGAGGTCGCTTTATTCTCGCCATCTAGCGTTTGCCCATGCTCTAAGTGTGGATTCTTGTTTTTGGGGCTTTGTTCTAAGGGTATGGTTTTGGCATGTTCTAAATGCAGGGTCTGAAATGATGTTCCAAGTGGTTCTCTGCAATGTGTTTTTTCAGCAACAGGGCAAAATCAAAGTATGGAGATCAAGTCCAAGGTTTGCGAACTCAGTGGACAAAGGCTAGATGTGGATGGCCACAAAATCATGTCAACATCCCTGCCAAATCATTCTGTTCACGTGCATGGTTGTTTGGGCGCATGATCCCAAGCTCATGCTCTTTTCGGCTTCCCACTGTACTAGGTCACCTTGGCGATGAAGCTGCTGACGGCCGCCAAAGCCAAGGTGGGGGGCCAGGATACGAGTAATGCGAACACAGCATGACATCGCAAAGCTATGAGAATGGACTCTTCTGTGATGGGGAAATAGTTGCACTCTTCTCATCTTCAGATGGACACACAGCTGCGGCGTCTTACAATGTGATGATCTAAGACTCATGTGTTTCTTCTTATATAAATACTGCCTTTCTCAAATGGTTTTGTATATTTGGGTGAACACGAGCCATGTGGGATTTGATGTTCAAGAGTTTGCAACGGAGTTTCTACGCTCAGATTCACGTGCCCAATGAAGCACCAGTCGCCACCAGTCGATACCAGTCGTGGCGGAGCCGCTCGGTACGTTGACCGCAGTGAGGCCAAAGCCAAAGCTAAAGCAGTGGCCAAGCCTGGCCTTAAAGTGGGCAAAGCTGCCAAAGAGCCCAGCGGCAAACGCAGGCGGGCAGGGTAGGAGCAGATGGCGCTTGCACTGGAGTTCGACTGAATGTGCTTTGGACAGCACAAGAGTTGACGGCATTTGGGTGAGGATTGACCCAATTTTGTCGATCGAACATACTCTGTCATTGTTGGATGATGTGGGAAGCGAATGAGAGAAGCTTGGATGCTGTTGAACTGCTTGATTATGCCAGCAACCTCCAATTGTTTGAGACGACAAGGCCCTTGCTGCTTCGACAAGGCAGTGGTGGAAGCTCCAAGTGCCCTGGGTGTGCAGGTGTGCCTCCACCTTGGCTTTGTCCCATTACCTGTAACAGTTGGTACACATTGTCGTATCCTGGAGAACGGCCTGCAACTGAACCATCATCATCCAATGTTACTGGTATATACCCAAGCTCCACCTATGCAATTAGAATATCCTTTACAACTTGGCACGAGCTGCGAATCGCTAGACGCAAGTCGTTGTCAGTACCGAAGCTCCCTGGCACGTGCCTTTTTCGGCAGAGCGGTTACCTTGGTGCTCTCACCGAGGTACCAAGGTGTGACGAAGCTGAAATCCGGCAAGTGGCAAGCGAATTACAAGGCTGGCCATGCCACTGCCATTGGGTGCAGTGGACAATGGGACCGTGTGTTTGTCGCGATTCAGAAGAAGCCGATTTCTCCCCACCGAAGGCGAGCCGGTTTCTTTCATTGCTCCGAACATGGGAGAAATCCGTTGTCACACGGCGGGTTCTCATTTAGAACCGGGAGGTGAAATTCAGAACCGGGTCCTTTCGGGAGGTGAGACGGGTTCAGTTCCGTTCCCAGGTCTTCGGAGCTTCGAAAAGATGCTGAGGGGAGCGGTCGACTTGAAAGAAGATGAAAGAAGCTGTTGTAGGAAGAAACCTAAAAGACACCCCTCATAAGCTCCAAGCACCCAAACGAAACACTCGGAAGACATTATCCTTTTGGTGTGATCCTTTTAGCATGTAAGAATCTAAGAACGTTGTTTGTGCATGTTTGGGTTACATGTTGCCTGTTGGTGAAGGGCAAGATAGGATAAGATAGGATAAGATATGCAGTCATGGATACGGTTTTCCCATTTATGCTGCACGGAGTTTGTTGATGTTTTAACTTTTTAGATCACAGATTTGGGATTCCAACAGCTAGACTCTCTCTTTGTCTCTCTTTCTCGGTTGGACGCCCTGGAAGAAGGGAAATGGGCCAGTCTACCCATGGGGCCAGGGGGTTCTCCCTATGAACTTACACACCCATTCTCTACAGGTCAATGACCTCATTTTACGGGGAGTTGATCATACAAACACACTGCTTAAGGAGGTAAAAGAACCAAGGTTTTACTAGATCTTTTGACTTGTAGGGCTTTGTTTTACATGGGTTCCGATATCATTGATTTACCCCGCCAGGGCAAGTACTTGGGCTGCTTCGAGAAGGTGTCTCTCATGCAGGGCTTGTCGGGCGTCGGTGTGGCGTTGCCCTCCTGGCAGCAACATGTATCACTTTGAAGGACAAGGTAATCGAAGTGGTAATCGACTTTTGTAGCGTTTGTAGATGTTTCTAAGTAGGTGCTCCTAAAACAATCGGCACATGACACATGGCCACTTTCAGCAGGGGGCCATCGTTTCTTTGGAGGGTCACGGTGGGGTTCGGCGGTCGCTCATGGTTCGTCGGACGTTTTTGGGGATGCGTGGCGAAGTTCCCCGGGGCTTCCTCTACGGGGCTTGTCCGATTACCTGTCCATCATCCACGGTTGCTAAGGGAGATACCCAACGCATCACTGCATAACTGAAGGACAAATGAGTTGACAGTTGAAACAACATACAGACACTCTATCATTCATCCATCAATCTAATCCGGTTCACCTATTAAAAAACACGGGCCCCCCCGCCCCCCTAATAAGGAAACCTCCGTCGCATTTTTTCTAGTAGGGGGTCCCTGAAATCCGGGGGTCCAAAATAGGGTCACCTGGAAAGAGTTTCCAAACCACAAAGTAATCCAGAAAATTTTTGTATAAAATCCTTTATTAAACTCGTATCAAAAATGCAAAAAACCTTCAGATCGAAGGGTCTTCCTTTTCCCCTACAAAAACCTTCATTAGAATAGTGATTCTTCAGTAGACTAACAGCTAAGCTTTCGAAAGGTGATGTCGCTGTGTCATGCGGTGTTGCATGACCTCGGTGGCAAGTGCGTTTGCGTGAGTCCGTGCCATTGGGGGAAGGAAAACCTGCTGGTGTAAGCGCGGCGTGTCATGGTGGATAGACAGGGCGGACAGAGGTGGGCAGATACAGTTGTTTTTGGAACCTAATTTTAAAAGAACCCTCCAAAGTCGGCCATGTTGGTAGTTTAGTAGCGGCTTGAAAGGGCGGCAGTTTAAAAACAAATATAAGCCGTATTTAGGGGGATCCAACATGATTTTTTTTTCCCGAATGCGTAGCGAAGGGTTCCCGTTTATAGTTGGGGGTCTGGGGGTTGGAGCTGTGTTTGCATGGCTTGCGTCGTGTCGTCGTCTGTCGTCGTCTCTCGTCGTCTCTCGTCGTTTGTCGTCGTCGTCGCGTCTCAAATTTGCTGCCATTGGGGGAAGCTTTTGCAAGTGACTTTGCATGGATGTGAGATCCGCAGTTTGCTGCGCAGCTCCATTGGGATTAGCGTTTGGGGAGTCGTGTTTTTGGGGTGTTGGATGTGGCCGTGCCATTGGGATTTGCGTTGCAGGGTGTGGCAGCGAAGCTCGGTTTTCGTGACAAGTCTCAGCTGAAATGGCGATTTTGGTGGATGGGAGTGTGCTCAGAACGGGTCGAAATCATTCCAAACGTGTGGTGTGGAGCAAATTTTGTTGAAGCTCACGTGAGATGATATTGTCACTTTTCGTGGCAGGCGCAGGACTTTGTGCGGGTTTTGAGGTGTGGAAGTGCGATTTTCGTAGCAGGGGCAGGGAATCGTGAGGTTGCGAGGTGTGACGGAGGTGACATTTCGTGGCAGGCGCAGTACTTTGTGCGCGTTAAACGTGTGGACGCGGAAAGATTCGTGGCAGGCGCAGGGAATCGTGAGGTTGTGAGTCTGTGGTAGAGGTGAATGTCGCGGTCACATTGGGATTGGCGTGTGAGCGTATGTTGTTTGGAGGGGCTGGAATCGCGAAACTGCTTGGCAGGGCTGCGTGATGTGTGTGCTCCGATGGGTGTTTCCTCGTACGAAACGCTCGTTTTGCAGACTTTGATGTGTGAGTTTTTGAGGAAGTCTCGTACGAAAAGCTCGTTTTGGAGACTTGACGCGCAACCGTCTGCGGAGATCGTGCGTGTCGAGTGTGCGAAATGCAGGCGAGAGCGCGATTTGTCCCATGCGCGCGCAACCCTCTGCGGAGATCGTGCGTGTCGAGTGCGGGAAATGCAGGCGAGAGCGCGATTTGTCCCATGCGCG